CAGCTAATTATCATGCAAATTAGGTAATTAACGAGCATGGATTTTTACCAAAAACTAATCAAATCTGAGCATTGGCCCAGAGCATCTATGCACCAAGTTTCATCAAAAACTGATGTATGGTTCTTGAGATAGCAGTGGAACAGTCGGACACACATACACACACACACAGACACACTAACTGCAAAGACTCCCATTATGTGCTTTGCACATGGGAGTCAAAAAGAAAAGGAAATTAAAAAGACAATTTTAGAGAAACTATGTCAGTGATGTAAACCATGTGATGTGCTGCCCAATCACTGCACAATAACAGGGAAGGAACGATGGAAATGTGTGCAATAATCCTGAGCCTTTAACTAAAATATGCTAGAATGGTGAAATATTGAAAATTAGCGCAGTACAGTAATACACTTATTTCCCTACATGCACCTTTCATCTTATAGGTCAAGCCAGGTATAAACCAATCAGAAAGCTGGATTGTGCCAGCTTAACTTATTTGTGAATTTTCAGATATTGCTGATGGCTAACACTGAAGTTATTTATCAAAGTTGCATATGTTCTTTTAACATTGATTTTGGTGGAAAAATGACATGTTTAAAAAAACACACAAAAAAACAGAAAATCAGTAATTTCTGAAAAACTGAGCACTAAAAAAGTATTTAACTTTTCACAGCGATAACACCTCTTTGTCGGAACGGAGTTTACTCATTTACTCTAGTCACAATAAAACATTGTATTTTCGAATAAACCTGAAAAACTTTAACTTGTACTCTGATTTAGGCATCAGATAAAGATTGAAATGTTCTAAAAGTGATGCCTAAGTTAGAGTACTTAATGATGTGTGCTGTGGTAAATATGAAACTTACCGAACATAGAAAAACCGTGAAAAGGAATGACGCCATTGGGTGGATAGACTACAGCGTATTCTTCCATTCCTAATTTACCTGGTAAGAAATATGGTAAAAAAATATGAAAGTGCAGGTTATAAGCCAATTAGATATCAGTAATGTAACAACATAACATAACAACAACTATAGTAGAAGGATTTATATGTATATATTTAAACTTTTCCTGAAAATAAACACATACAAGAAACATAGTTGAACTCTGGTGACCTTGCCCTTTGTTATATAATATAATTCCCTTTATCATAGTTTGTTTCAATATAAATATGCATTGTCATAATTAATTTTGAATACAAACAAGTTTTGGGGTTGAACCAACAGTGGGGAATCAGTCTACCGAATGTCCTTAAAAGATGTAAATATCTTACAAAAACATTGGTGCCTTATTTGTTTAATTATTTTAAGGAACATAGTTTCCAGCTTTATTGAAAGTAATTGAGATATTTTAGAATAAAAACAAATGCTCATTGCAAAAAAAAAGTGCTGCATTTAGATGTGAATAGATTCATAAAACATGCAAGATAACAGACAAATTTAGCTGGC